AATCAACCCGGTTAATATTTTCTATAGAAAATATCTTGAAACTACCCAAAGCTTTTCTAAAGTAAATTGTACGTATTAGTATGGACCATATTTTTGGTAATGAGAAATTCAACTATAAAAAATATCTGCTGAAATTGCTGTTTTTCCTTTTATTATCAATTATAAGGTAAATTTGAATGTTTGTCTCAGCATTTCAATAACACTCTGATTTTCTATTGGAGAATACGAGAAGGATTCTTCCCTATTAATGAGCATGTTCGAAATTAGTGACAATATTTAGGATATCCATAATGCATTGAGATATATTTGAATATTTGTGATTGTTAAATTGGTAAATAAAAAAAAATTTTCAATTCTTAAATGAAAATGTCTTTAGTAAATAATGATATTATTTCAAATTGATAATGATCAAGATGAAAAAACAAATTTGAATTTTCCATTACTAACAATAGATAATGCAATTCACCAAATAAAAAACCACAACTTTGACAAATCGCGGAAGACTCAGAGAAAGTTCCATCATTGATGAACGATTTCCAAATGGGTCAAGTGCTGGTAACTATTTAATGAATTTAACATGTTTTCATTATTTTACATTTATTATTAATATTTGAAACCATTATGAATGAATATTCAAGCATTATGAATAACTGAACATGGGATAAAAGATACGAATAGGATCACTATTTTTCAGAGAATTTATCATTTGAATTGCAATAAATTTTCTTGTTTCTAGGGAATTGATTTTGAATTGAGATCATTCATGTAGTTGTTACTAAAGCTTTGAACGAATTGAATCACCTAATTGTTGTTGATTCGATTCGATTCGATATATACCAACTATACAATCATGATTTGGTGCGATTTGACCTGTTTCGATTCGATATATACATACTAATTCAATGAAAATAAATTCCTTGTTTTGGGGAATCTTGTTTCAGCGAATTATAATTAAATTCGCGTTACATAGATGAAATGCCGAAATAGTTTCCATGGCAGCTGTAATTAATTTTAATAGTATAGCCATCCAAAGTTATATGGTCTCTTTAATTTGAAATAAACAAAATAGCATAGTTCATACATCAAGAATCTGAAATATTGCCGGAATATCTGGGAAAACGCAAAAACAATTTCTGCTAAAATCTATACTTCACATATAAAATTCGTCAAAACGCGATTTAAATGTAATTTGCTTATGCTTCTCGTAGATTTGTTGAAATGAGTATTTGCTTTTAAATCTGACTCGATTTGTTTCGTTGGGAGCCTTAGTTGTTACAGCTTGGAAGTATATATATTTTTGTATATGATAGCATGTAAATATTTGATGACTTTTTCTTTTTCTGTTATTTAAGATAGATTCTTTTTTCAAACCAATTATCAAGTAATGTTTCAGAGACGAGGTTCTAAAGTCTATTTTTTCAAAAAGTGATAGATAAATTAAAGATGACGTCAATTTTATTGTCAAACGGAAGGATTCCAAATTAATATTAATTTAGGTATGGTGAAAAGGGAGTATATTTATCATTTGTGAACTGGATGGAATTTAAGTCTTTCACCAGGTAGGAGTGGGCGATATTTTCGTAGCAAAGAGTGCGAGATATTAGAATTTAAAAGTTATAAGGAAGATCTTCGTTCAACATTTTTTGTTTCGGGTTACTGTTCTTTTTTTCTTTCCCATATATTTATTAAAATCAATAACAGAATTCATTATATATAAAATTTATAAAATTAACCAACTGATAAATTGATGATTTTATTATTTTTAAAAATTCCAAACCTTGATATTTTTTTAATAAATCAAATAATTCAATTCTTCTAATTATTGATGCCAGTTCAATTTTAAAAGGTTTAGGCATCATCATGATTAAAGGCTATGCCATTTAAAACTTTTGGTAATGCCTGATTTAAAGCTTTTAAAATTCCATCACCATTAATTGTATCAATAAATTTAATAGATCTTTAAATTAATGGCATTATAATCGATAAATGTTCCAAATTTTGAAAATGTTCTCCAATTGATTGAAGATCACCCAGACATTTGCCATCTTCTGGATTACCACCAACTATTAAAATTTTAAGACTGCTTCCGTTAATTTTTATGAATTCTGACGAGTCTGATAGAAATGGCAAATAATGGATGTTCAATTTATAATTTCAATATTTGGGAACAGAATAGATTTCATATACTTTGTACCATCATGATCTTTAGATATTTTTAAAATCTTCAAATTATTTAATTGAATCCAAATTATTTTTTCCATAACTAAAATAATCAATTATCGATAGTGAATGAACTAAAATTGCTTGTATTAAATCATTTGATAAAATTAAATTACCAGCATACAATGTAATAGCTAATTTTCGAATTTTGTGTTGTGCCTTAATTAGTTGAGCTAATATATAGTGAGAATTAATATTATATGAGGAAATACACCATCTATTAGTAAAACTCGGATCTTTTACAAGTATTTGTTAAATAATTAATAAATTCAGGATCATTATTAAAATAATATCTTAATTCATAAAGATTTTGAAAACAAAGTAGTAGCCCTACAATTTAACAATCCTTCACAACCATAAATCTCAATAAACTTGAAGTTTGAATAGTCTAAAATGAAATTCACTAATCTTTCTTTTAAACGTCCAAGTTTAATATGACCATAACAACTAGCTACCAACAGATTTTTATTAATAACTTTCCTCAATCTATGGAAAAACAATTCAGCATAATTACGTAATGGTGGTTTTTTTAATAGTTGAGAAGCTAATGTTATTTTTTGTTAAAAATTTTTATCTTCTTGTAATAAACAATTAATTATTATTTGAATGTTGATAGTTGAATAAATGGATCCTCCATAACGTCGAAATATTGATATTATGCCATTGTTTATTGACAAGAATGCAAGGGTATAACGATTTATAATTTATTATTATTGAATATTTCAATGTTTTCAAAACTTGTACAACCTATTTTTATTTCCGGCCAATTAAAGTGGACCTTTTCAAAAGTGTGTTGTGAACTTAGTGAAGACCAAATCCTAGCATTGATGTATTCTAATTGTGTCAACACAAAGGACAAATTTACAAAGAATCATTCTGTATATTCTGGAAATCGATCTTTAATATGCCAATCAATAGTTGATACAGGGTGTCAAATTAATACATATTTTCAAAGTTAAATAATTTGCATCTGATGTCTGGAATAATTTAGATATTTTGAATAAATTTAATAGAAAAGAATTATTCGGTCTCTCTGATCCAACTGTTATATAAATACACCTTTCTGCACATCGTCTGATGGGAATGATATTAATAAAATGACACTTGCATTTGAAAAGTATCTAAAAGGAAAATAGTAGTTTCCAATTTAAATTGGTAATAAAATGAAAACAAATTTACTTCATACCTCATTACTATATATCCATCAGATTTTGAATCACTGGTGCCATATTGGGACCATGGAGAAGAATGTTGCAAGGTGTTAGATGCACTTAGACATCTAAAAAATATAGAATTATTCCGAACGTCAAACAAGCATATATTACCAGCATCGAAAGTCTAATATGACAAGAGTAAAGAATTTAATTATATAATAAATAGTATTTCATTACTATAACTGATGACCATTTTTCTATTTAATAATCAATATAATAGTGAACAAAGGAAGTAGAGGCAGACTCATCATCACAATGAGTATGGCATTAAAGTCAATATCTTGGTTTGACAGATTAAATAAAACCATGTTAAAAAGCAATAAATGGCAAGGAGGTAAAAATTGTTACTGAAAAAATAGTAATAGGGTTATATTTTTATAAAAACTTGAAAGTTGAGCTCCTCATTGTTTTTTATAATAAGGTAATAGGTGGAGGCAATTATTGAATTTGTATTTTTATTATAGATTTAAATATTAACAGAATTATTTTTGAATATTTCATAGGATAACAATATTCAGTGTGAATGCACAAAAAAATTTATGTTAACAAAACCAAAGACGGTATCAAGTGGTCATGCTTTGATGTTCTATTTGTATAAAAATAATTTTATAAATGATATTCTATATGGTCGAGTAATGAAAGAACTATCAGCAAAAAAACGATAAGCTTCAAAATAAATTTGATAAATTTTGGGATGGTTTCAATGTTTAAATTGAGATAAACAATCGTGGGTTGGATGGGAAACAAAGGGTATCATCAGTGATTGCTGATAATTTTTTGTATCATGAATTGCACAGCAATCAAATCTTTCATCTCAAAATATTTTTCTAGATTTCAAATGACTTAATAAATATCGCAAGAATATATTCACAAGTTAATGGTCCTGGTTACATTGCAAATGAAAGTCCTATAATTTCTTAAAGTAGAATATCAGAGATCAACAATCAAAAACTTGAGGCTTGATCTAAAGACAAACTCTTCTATTCTTTGTTTGAAGGATAATAAGAAAGAACTCTGGAAAATTTTGGGGCCACTTATCCTGATAGAGTTAAATGGACATCATTTATGGCACATTTGGCAACCAATGTTCATTTTACCTGGTTTTGACCCATCCATATTAATAATGTTTGTTAAACTTTTTAAAAAATTTTTATTTATTAATAAAAAAAATAAAATATTCACACAAAACTTGGTCTTAATTTCTCAAGTGTATAATAAAAATTTTGGAATTTTCAAAATCGTTGAAAAGTTTGAAGCTTGAGTCATACATGAACAATAAAACTTATCCAGTTAATTTTTTTAAAATGATATAAAAATTTTTTGTTTTATATAGTATTTTGAAGCTGACTTATTGTGTTATAAATAAATAATCTGCATCAACAAATTGCAAATACATAGATAGATTTATATAAAGTCTATTATTAATTTATTAATTTATTATCTATTACTATTATTATTATAAAAGGACACTTCTAATTACCAAGTAACTATCATATATAAAATGAATAAAAGAAATATATATATTAGGAATTGGAAAAAACTGTTTTCTCAATCAATCAATTTTATTTATGATGATAAATCCGCATCAGTATTTTCTGATTCATCATATTTTGCTTCCTCCTCAAGAAAAAATCGATGATTGAGTGACCATTCAAGTTTTTGCAATTCAATACTGTTAGGTATATAAATTTTTCTATCAGATGAACCAACTACTACCACTGGTGCTATTACTACTGGTTCTTTATTTTGCAAAATATTATTATTGGTTCCGGTTTTTATTCTTATTCTTTTTGGAGAATTAATGGGTTTTAAATCATTTTTTTCTATACTTGTATCTATAACATTTTGATATGGCGGTGATTGTGATGGTGTTGTTGGTGGTGTTGTTGATGGTGATTGCAGTGGTGTTGTTAAAGATGATTGTGGTGGCAATGATGATGATGATAATGATGATGATGATGATGATGACGATGATGGTGGCGGTGGTGGTGGTGGTGGTTCAATAATTTCACCATTGTTATTGTTATTAATATTATTTTCATTAATTTGTATATTCTTTTTTGATAATTCAATTTTTTTTTGTATTAGTTGATTTTGGCGTAATTTATAGATTTTTAATCTTGTTTCCTTTGGTAATTTTTGTTCCTAGTGGAAAAAATATTTATTATGTGTACACATATCATATTCTATCTATATATTCTAAATATCATATACATACTTTTTCTAAAGTCTGTCGTAGAATAGGAACAATGACAGTTCTCAGATTTTGGTAGAAAGATCTTTCATCAGCATGTTGTTGCTCAAGTGGAATCCCTGTAAGACGTTTCTCAAAATATTTCTCAAGATTTGCTACATCCTCAACCGTTGTAGTACCGACACTCCATAAAACATTATTATTTACAATAGATTCTTTATAAATCCTAGATCCAACTATATAATATTACATGAATATAAGGTTAACAATTGTACCTACATGAATGTAATATTAATATTTATCAAAAAACTTACTTCCAACATAATAATATTTAGAACCATCGGAATCTGATCCTATTTTCTCAACATCAAATGGAATACTATCATTTCCTTTACTCATTGGATATTTTTTTTTGACAAGTTCTTTAATTTTTGTGGAAACATAAAATTGTTTAATCACCATATCCTTCAATATTAGAACCTATTAAATAGATATGTGTAAATATTTATCACTTGTCAAACCACTCATTAAAAATAATAAAGCACTCACTAATATAAATATTATTTAACCTTGTCACGAACTGATAATTTATAAAAATTTTCAACATTTTTTAAAGGATTGACTCTGGTATAAAAACCTTTATCTTCTTGTATAATGTTATCAATATGACTTACTAATTCTTTATGTAAAGAAATTGGACTAAAATTTATCAATGAAAAATTATTTGTGATATTTGTTTCAGAAATGTTTAATCTAAATAATAATAACAATAATCATAATAATAAGTCTAAATGTTACTTGATAAGTTTGTCTTGATTCTTTAGATTCTTTAGAAAATATAATAATAATTTCTCCAAAATTTCATCTCTTTCGTTTTTACAAAGTGCTTCTTCCAAATCCTTTTTAAAATATTGATATTCATTTGAGTGATTATCATACAAAATAATGATATTAATAATGTATCAATAGATAATACCTCTGGCCAAAAAAACACATAATCTAATGCCTCCTTATATTTAAAAGAAAAGAAAATAATAAATGCAGTTTCTGGCATATCTTTTGGGTCAAGTTCTTGTTGTTTTTTAGATCTTTGGCTTATTTTATTTCTAATTGGTGACATTTTTGATTTTTTGCTATATTTTATTTTAGTTGGTTGGTTGTAAGTTTATATGAGAGTTTGTGACAAACTTTGTTTTTCTCACTCTTTAAAAAAATCGTTTTCAAAATAAATAATGATAACAGATAACAGATAATCTCCCAAAAAAATAAACATTGGTGATAAATAAGGCGATGATCAACGAAAATTTTGGCCAACGAATTTCTTATTTTCTTATTTTAATATTAATAAAGAATTATATACCCAAATCCGGGTTTATTATACTACGAAAATAAAGCATTTGAATAATGATGCGACCCGTGGACATTCTTTCATCCATTAATTACTCAAAAACACGTCCGTTGGACTATCCGTCGGATTGAAACATAGTAATAGTAACAGTAACAGTAACAGTAACAGTAACAGTAATAGTAATAGTAATAGTAATAGTAATAGTAATAGTGAAATATTATAATTTTGATAACTCATGATGTTTATTGCATTCAAAATTAATTTGATGGATTAATTTGAAGCATGAATCTGGTTTGCTTGCTTACGGGTTCTCGTTTCTTGCACTTAAATAATGATAATTTTGTGAAATAGTATATTTTCAAAAATCTCCTTTTGAAGATTTAAATTCTCCTAGGATTAGTTAGTGATGTACCGCGCATAGTTTGTGGCACAACAAGTGAGATTTTTTTGTTATCCTATAATGCTATGTGTGAATCCTACGTACACACTATGTATATGCACTATGCGTGAAAGAAAATCAAGTTTGCTATAGAATGGTACAACAGTAGTCAGTGTCTAAATTATACATGAGGTGACTTTTTAACGCAATTAATTGAGTCATATGAAAAACATATAAATAATTGAATTGAGTCAAATCCAATTTAATTTGACAACATGTATAATCTAAATTATTATCAATGTGTCTTCTACTGTACGCTTTAGATTGTTATTCTGGGCTGTAAACAAGTATTATATCTTTCATTATTTTAACCGGACATTGATTAACATTAGAAATATAGATATTGTTTTACCTGTACAATCTTATGTCGGGACGCAATCTTCAAAGGTGTGATTATACCATCAGAGGCCCATGTTCCTTCATTTACTCCTTCATCTTCTGTTAAATAATCTTTAAGATTACGTATTCGTTTGCTATACGTTTTGCGAATTAGATATTGCGAACGTGTGTTCCAAGTTATTTATTACGAAATCACCAAATCTGGCACACGGCCAAGTTAGTTCAAACTAAAATTATTAAAATAAAACATACAACTATACTACAAACAATATAATCATTAATCATCGAAAGGGTCATGAATCAATCACACAGACTTTATTAATTAATTACAGCCAAAGAATAAATTTATGTGCGTTAGGATGTTTAAAAAGAATAGGTGATTACTAACGCTATTTCAAGAAGCCAAAAATGCGTACTGATTCATTAATGACTGCTTCGGATATAAAAGGGAATTGATTGACAATAATTAAAACCCACAAATGATTCAAGATTTCAACAAGTGACAATTACTGTTTATGATTATAATGAGACGTATCTTTAATTATGATTGCTAAAGCTATTTTGTAACCATGATGGAGGGTCCATTGCATCTATAATTGAAGGTATGATGAGTACATTGTATAAATGTTGGCACTTCTTATGGATCCCTCGAAGTTCTTTATTATTATGCGTTTCTTTTCCATTTATCTCCTACGGATATTTTCATTCTAGATGAAACAAAAAATAGGGTTTGTAGATAATTGATTATCATTCTTTGAGAATTGTTGATTTGCGGTTGATGAAATTTATCCAAACACCTTTGAATAATCCTTCTTTATTAAAACAAAATGATTGATTTACTTATATTCGCATATGGTGATGGATTTAGTTCATCGGATAAATCTAGATTTTTCAAAAAACTGGCCACACTGGCGCAGAAATTTGATACAGGTAAATATAAATTGTTACACGGAAAACTAAAAAAATTTTTTCTCAATTTCTGTGTTCTATATTTATATATATTAAAATTTTACAATAAATAGAAAAATAGAAAACTCACCTCTTCTCTTATAAAATTCCTTTGGTCACCAATTTAAAGGTTAAATCTCTGAAAAAAAAAAGAAAAACTTTTTTTTCTGCCCGATTTTTAATTCCAATCATGTCATTAACCGAACAAATTGTCATAGTTGATAATAATACCGATAATATTAACTCTATTTCTACTTTGGATGATGTTGGAGCTACTTTGATGTTTCCAAAAAAATATATGGATAATACTAATTCAATTTTAGTAAACGATTATGATAACAGTATGAATAAAAAAGTCAATTTAACAGCAACAACAACAAACGAGCCAAATGATACACATTCAACTGGTCACTCAACTGGTCGTTCTACCCCTGATCTATATGATGCAAATTTCCCTAGTCTTTCATCAAATACATCAACTGCTTCTTCCACTTCTTCCACTACAACCATTAATTATAGCAGTATTGTTAATAGTAACACTGACTGTGTTAGTAAAAATGATAGGAATGCCATTGTCACAGAAAATTTGGAGTTAGCTGCATCACAACATAATAATCCTCAACAACAAAAAAGATCCAAAAATCAAAAAAATCAAGCAGCAGAAATTATTAGACGAGTGATGGAACGAACTAATACAAAAATAAATGTAGATCCTGGTGCGAAAAGTTCTGTTGTGACTTTTTTAATTGAGGGAAAAGATGAAGATGTTGCTAATGCAAAACGTATTTTAATTGATAAACTCGGTCTTAAAGTAATAATAATAATAATTAAGTTCTAAATGATTGTTTTTTGTGTGTGCACGCATCAAAGTCATTTTTATGAATGAATGTTTTATAATTTAACTATTTACTCAATTGGTTTATTTTTTCTACGTTTAGGATGAAATTACTATTCAGGTTCCTGCATCAGCCCGTTCTCATTTATTGGGACCTCGTGGTACAACCCTAAAGTCAATCACTAATTCAACTGGTGCACGCATCACACTGCCACCACGTTCTAAAAATCCAAGAGAAGAAATGAGAAAGTCTGAATTGGATTACGACGAGGATGAGGAAATGATGAATGTGACAATTTTTGGTGAGATGTGTGCTGTTTGTAAAGCAAAAGTTGAAATTCAAGACCTTATAAAATCTATGGTACATTACGATTTATTTATTTATACATGATTTATGTTTTAATTTGATCATAAATTATATATTTTATTAGTTTAAAGTCTTTTTATTAATTGGATGATTGGATTATGATTATGTAGTGTGCAACTAAAAGGACACATTATATTAAACACATCGAAAGTAAATTTTATCCATTGATTGCTGGCGCACATAATCAACGTATTAATCAGCTTGGTCTTGATACTGGTACAAAAATTCATGTCCCTTCTTACAACCCTACCAATTCCAACAACACATTCATTGATGCAGACAAAAATTATATTGTTATTACTGGTGAAAGAAATTCAGTTAAGATTGCAAGCGAAATGATTGAAGACCGTTATGAAGATTTGGTAAATTGTTTTTTATATTCTCTTTGTAATTTTTTATCTTTATTTTATTTTATTTTATTTTGAATTTATCGTACTCATGTGTATATATGCACAAAACATAGAAAATTAATACACGTACTCTTAAATTCGAGATTCCAAAACGTCAACATAAATATTTAATTGGTCCAAAGGGTGCAACTCTTCAAGAAATTCTTGAAACAACAGGTTGTATACTAGAATTACCACCGGCAACTGATCCATCAGCGAACGTAACAATTCACGGACCACAAAACCAATTAGCAGATGCTATAAAAACTGTAATGAAAAAAGCAAACTCTATGCATGTTCAAATACTTGATATTACTGACCTTCATCACACGGAAAATCCAATGAAACATTCTATTAATATTTTGAAATATTTGTGGAATAGAAGCAAGTTGAAGAACGTTGAATCTAAAACTGGCGTAAAAATTGTTACTCCAAAGATTACAGCATCAGCAGAAACAGAAATGAAGAATTTGGTTATGGAATTTGTGAGTAAAGTACCTGAAGATGTAGAAAATGCTAGAAAAGAAATCACCGAAATAATCAAAAACTTGGTGAGTTAAATGAACTTATTGATGTAATTAATAGTAACAAACAATTTAAAAAATATATATACTAATACATACATGTATACACGTATAATAGCCACCTAGTTATTTTGATGTGGTAGAAATTAATCCAAAATTTCATCGACATGTAATTGGTCGTAAAGGACAAAATTTACAAAGAGTCAAAGATGCTTATGGTGTTGAAATAATAGTTCCTGATGAGAAAGAAGCCAATCCCGAGATATTGATAGTTTTTGAGGGTAGAAAAGGTGTCAAGGAATTTTCTGATAGAAAGAAAAAAGAACTTTACATTAAGGAAATAATGGAAAAAGTGAAAAATGAATTGTTAAAAGTGGAACGTGATTCGTCATCGGATTTTTCTACTCAGACATTAGTTGTTCCTGTCAAGTATCATCGGCATATTATTGGACCTAAAGGGATTAATTTGAATGCGATTATTCATAATGATAATGGTAGTGGATGTTCATCTGTTTCAGTAAAATTTGGGTCATCTAAATATTCAGGTGTAGATGATCGATCGTCAAATGCACAAGAAGTTTCAGATGATTCTATTATAGTTAAAGGACCTGTTAAAGAAGTTGAAAGAATAGTTGAAGAAATTAATGAAAAAGTAGAAGATATTAAACGTGTTGAGGTTGGTCGCTACATTTATAAATACTTGTAATGAATGTTATGACTATATTATTATCTCACATTTATAATATATTTATACATATTATTTTAGAATATGAAATCGTTTACGGCAGAATTTACAATTCCGGCGATTTACTCCTCACATATTATTGGTAAAGGAGGGAGTAAAATAAAATTTATCAGAGAGAATTACAACGTCAGGATAGATATAGATAACAAGAATGTCAATAAAAGCAACAGTGGTAACGAAGAAGATGAGACTGTTAATGTTAAAATAGTTGGGATGAAAGTTTATGTTGAGGAGGCTAGGAGTCGAATTCTAGACACGATTGACAAATTACAAGAAGAAAATGTTGTTTGTGTGAATATTTCACCACATTATCATGCTTCATTGATTGGTGCCAAAGGTAAAACGGTTAGAAATCTAGAAGTGAAACACGGTGTACGTATTAAATTTCCAAGAAATAAGAATTACAAGAATCATCCTACCATCACTCCTAGTATTAGTAGTGACATTGATGAAGATGTAGGAGATGGTGATGAAGGAGAAGGAGAATTTGAACGTGAATTTGAGCAAAATAATGAAGAAGATTTAGGTTTAGACCCAGATGTAGAAAAATCTGATGAAGTATTAATAATCGGTGGTAAAAGAGGAGTTAGTGAGGCTAGAACAGAATTGCTGGATCTTTTACACTACGCGCAAGATCATGATAATATTCTCAGTTTCACTATTCCAGCCAAATGTTTGCCACATGTTGTTGGCAAGAACGGAAGAAGAATCAAAGAGATTAAGACTGACACATTTACAAAGATTTATATTAGTAAACCAATAACTTTGAATGTTGATGACAGCAATGATGATAATAATAATAAGCTATATGAGCAAGTTGTTAGAGTAAATGTGCGTGGTAATAAAAGGGATAATATCAAGGCCCAGAACAAGATTTTGGAGATTGTTGAAGAATTTGAAAAACAAACAACAATCATTATGAATATTGATCCTAAACATCACAAGTTTTTGATCGGACCTGGTGGTAATCGTATTAAAGAGGTTATAGCAAAAGCTGGTGGACCAGAGGATAAAAGTTCTCAGGCCGGGATTGTTAAGTTTCCTCGACTTGATGATGGTGGTAGTAGAATCAATGAGGTTGTAATTAAAGGAAGTGAAGAACTTGTGAAAAAAATTAAAGAAGAATTTGAAATTTTAATCGAAGAACAAGTATGCATTCATTTAATTGATTTTATTTTTTATTCATTTTTATTATTGCTAACGCAGAAAAAAAAATTTTTGTTTAGGAAAATTTAATTATCGATATTATTAAGGTTCCCAGAAATGAACATTCAGTTATTATAGGCAGGAATGGGTCCCAACTTCATAATATTCAAAATAAATTTAATGTTGAGCTTTATTTCCCTGGTTCACGCTCATATAATCAAATAACAGTGACACAAAAAATTGAACAACAGCATGAAGATTTGATAGATAATAATGATTTAGTAAAAATAGTGGGGAAAGTTGAAGACATTAAACTTGCCAAAGAAGAAATATTATCAAAACTTCGATATGAATATGTGTTCAAATTCCCATGTAAATTCTACAGTATAATTAATAATAACGGATTTACATCGAGAAAATTAAGAAATGAGTACCATGTAATGGTTGAAAATCAAGAAGATGAGTGGAAACAAACCTCAACAATTATTAATAAAAAACCAAATTTCAAAAAGTCTACTAAAGTTATTTTTGAGGTAGAAGAGGAGGAAGAAGATAGTGACGATGAATTCGATGTAAATCAATTTGATTTTGAAATTATTGATAATTACGATGACGACGATGACGACGTCGATGATTTCGAAATTATTGATAATTATGACAACAACAGCGGCGATGATGATGATGATGATGATGATGATGATGATGATGATGATGATGATGATGACGATGACGATGAGGAGGAGGAGGAGGAGGAGGAGGTTGAGGAGGTTGAGGAGTCAGGAATTGAAAATGTGAAAGAAAAAAAATCTAAAGAAATTTCTTGGACACTTAAAGGTGTAAAAGGACAAGTTGATCAAGCTGTAAAATATTTAAATGAATTATTAGAACAAGCGGTAATTACGATATAGAATTCATTGTTTTTTATTTTTTAATAAATTCTTTCCTTACTCACTTCCTTGATTCTTTCATTGTAAATGGAATTAATTATGCGCTAGGTTAATGAATGTACTGGATATTTATCAATTCCTCAAATGTATCATGGACATATTATTGGACGTAGAGGATCAACTATTTCACATATTAGAGCAGAGAGTCGATGTAAGATTGATGTTCTCAAAGTTAACGGTGATGATATGATTGTAATCATTGGAAGCAAAGAAAATATTATGATAGCTAAAAATATGATATTTGAAGTATTAATTAACTTGAAAAAAGAACAAAATAGTAGAAAATCTTAAATATTTTTCTTCTAGATCTTTGGGTTGTAAATTATTTATTTATCTTGTGTATCATAGAATTTATATTTAACATTATTTCTTGTATTATATTTGTATACAATATTTATATATAAAGTATTCATGTAAAAAAAATTATATATTAAAGTATTGAACAATTGAACAATTGAAAGTTCTAAATTCTAAAATAAAGTTTTCAACCATTATTTTTTTTCTATTCACACTAACACGGCAATTTACCATTTGCTAGCGGTATCTACAAGTTATCTGAACGTCCACAAAAATTTAAATTCTGATTAATCCCGGATAAAACATGGAGTCAATGTCCACAAAATTTAACATTGTTAATGACCATCAAAAAACATGATCCCATATCCCATACGATCTCACTTTATTAATATAAAAACGTTGCTGAAATAACAACATACAAATAAACAATAGATTGGCGGAGGTTCACATTTGATCTAACATTTCTTGTCGTTGACCAGGATTCATATAATCATTGTCGTCATTTTCCTCATCCCTTTCTAATTTTTCTCTTGAAAGGTTTTCTCAGTATCTGCCAGAGCATGAGGCCCAGAAAAAGATTAATAATGAAGTTATAGATCAACTCCAAAAGGAGATTTCCAAACCACAATTCGAAAGAAAACGGAAAGTGCTCGAAAGATTTTATGACCTTTTTTTTCGTATTAACGATGATAAAAATCAACGGATGGTATATATCCAACGAATAAAAACACTTACAGCATCATCTATTTCGAAGTTAAGTTTAAACAATATCAAATATGTAGCATCTCAAGTTAGAAAGGATACTGGAATTTAAATTTTCTTTAATTATGGAAAAAATCAAAGTTGATTTTTTAAAGGGCAATTCAGAAACATAAAAATTTAGAGTTACAGATTTATACAATTTTGCAAAATGTTTCATTTTACTTGTTTTTTTGGTATATTGCACCATATTGTGGGATAATTAAATATGAAATAAAAAGTAATGATAGAATAATAAAAGGAAATGTAGATATAAAATACCAAGTAATCTTTATAATATATTATTCTTACTATAATAAAGATACTAATAAACACGAAATAATCGTGCATTTTTTTATGTGATACTAAAATTTTTTAGATCGCGTGAATCCGTTAGAAACAGTAATTTTATATATTAATATAGGTCATATGAGATGGTTTTCAGATAATAACCGTTATTATTATAGAGAGAGATTTTCAATAGTAAAAAATCGGGGCAAAATAAAATGTATGTTTCATAATGTGCATGGAAAATCAATAATCCATACATGCATAAATTTCGGTAAATTTCAAAATTTAGATTAAATGCACCAGCGTTTATTATTAATCCTATTTTATTTACCTTTTCCATGCATATTGCTCGAGAATATACCATAAAAATTTTATGCAGTTAATAAGTTAAAATTTTAATTGGTTTTTTAAAAAGTGGACCATGACTTTTGGGAGAAGACTTTTTTTATTTTTTTATTAAATAACCTTAAATATACATTAGAGAAAATATGAATTGATTCTTATTCGTAATCGATTAAATGCTCATGCGAACATTTTATTAATTAATAATTAACATCGCACATATATTTGAAACAATATCGGATTTGATGTGAATGATCAAAAGAACCAAGTCCTGAATCAATTATTACTTCAACATAAAAATGAGACATAAATTAATTAGTCTGTAATTTTCTATATATATAGCGCCTGTTCAGAACGGTTGGGATATTATCATCTAAATAATCATCCAGGGAATTATATATACCTGAATAATCTAATATCCACACTCCTTTATTCATTAAAAATTAACACTTATACAAAAAGTTTTTCTGTTCTGGATAACAGAAAATTTGGATATCTAATATATTTTAATATTAATTTTTAACGCATATATCTTACAAAATGATGAAAATTTTTCTTTGGATTCTCATTATCAATTGTATCGCCTGTAGCATGCTAGTTCATGCGTTTCCTGCTCATGGAGGTTAAAATCAATTTTATTCTATTTTACTTTATATTAAAAATTTCTCGTAAGTATTCCAGTTTCTCACCATATATTTGATTGATATTTCATTTATAGATGATGATCACCATCACAACCTCGAGAAACGTTGCAGTTTTTTCTCCAGGCTTATTGGTGATTGCGATGATGGAGTTAAATTGGGTGGAAATTGTTCGGTTCTACCTTGTAAAAAGGGTCTGGAATGCAAGAATCTTGGTGGTTTTGGTGGAACTCCCACTTGTACCTGATAAAAGTATTCAGCACTTTTTTTTTTCGCAAAGTCGAAAAAAAGTCCATCATATAAAAACTTTTTTTTTATTAATAAATAAAATACTTTATACACAGAGAGTTTCTATCATATTTATTTCGAATTAATCAAGCATATTTGAAATGTAGAATATGTAGTATCTATAACTTGAGTTTGTTTTTTTGAATTTTATGTGAAAAAATCGCAAAATTAAATAAAATTTTTACTTAAAACCATTCTTGAGCACCTAAACAAAAATAAGCGGAAAGACTTTAAATAAATATATATTTAAAATTTCATAAAAAATTATTTTGAAGCTAATGAATAAACCAAATTTTTATAAATATATTTAGAAAAATATTAAAATTTAATTTACTCAAAATTTTATATAGCAATAGGAAATAAAAGAACCTATGCGAAAACATTTATAAAAAGCCATATTTTTATTAATAAATTAATATCATCATAATCCTGAAAATAGACCAATTTCCAAAGAAATTAAGGGTTGTTTATATGAATACAATTGGCATTGATACGACTGAAGAAAAAAAATAAATATCGAATTAACAGAAGCAAAAAGTCAAGAATCATCGAGTCAGACAAGTTCCTATCAGATTAAAAGGTTTATAAACACCATCCTGGATCATTCCTATACAAGTCGTCTACTAAATGAATCAATTGAGCAAGTCTACTCATCAATGATAACAACCGAAATCACCCAAAACTTTAGTACAGCAATGATAACAAAGGATAACGTTTAAAAAACGTGTTAATTTTTAAGTCAATGCAAAAGATTGTTAATTTAATATTATTTATTTATTTATTTATTTATTTAACATTATTTTCATCATTTTCATTGTATGCATTTATTAAACTAAGAGTAATTGAATGTTCAAATTAACAAATGGTTTGTTGACCATTGAATAAAGGTTAACATAGAAATTTTTTTATATGTGTGTTTTAAATTTTCACTATTGACATTAATATAGTAATAGTATGTAAGAAGCATCGACTCCTTTACAATTACAGTCTCCGGCGAAAGTAATGGCGGTGATAATTTTTTTAAAAACTAAAAATTTTTAATAAGCAACTGTCAATAAAATTTTATTTTTAAAACGCCTTTAAGTAAAACATTATGTTTTTAAAAGCTTATAGTATAAAACGTTTTCCTCCCTTCTCAATCCCGGTTTGAATCTAATTTGAGCATTAAAAAAAAACGGAACTTTGGCTTTTTTAAAAATTTCTTAAATTTCATTTTTCTATTAAACTTTTTTTTTATCAAGTAAATGAATCTTTATACATTAAATAAAATTATTCGAAATGAAAAATTCCACGTATCCTAAAAATTTTATGAAGTTTGGATAAAAAAATTTAATATGTTTTTATATTTTACGCTTTTACGAAATAGAAAAATCAAATTTTTTTACACAAATGTAAAGTGCAAGAACACATCAAAAAATTTTCTCTAAACTTCATAAAAATTTTAGGATATGTAGAATTTTTCATTGTGAACAACTTTATTTAATATAAAAAGATCGATTTACTTAATAAAAACTTAGCAAAAATAATGTTTCATTGTACCGCCATTACTTTCGCCGGGGACTGTATAAATAACAATTCAATATCAATAATGTTAAATTAGCGTGTAAAATTATTTGCTTATTAAATTTTTGAATTAAATAAATATTAGAGAGAAAAAAAAAAATATTAGAAGAGGAAAAAAATCATCCTGGTGGCTGACATATTCACATTACTCTAGTTTTTTAATAAATGTAGGTAGCAAATTTATACTTAGTGGATTAATACAAGAAGTGTGTATAAAATATTATTTGCCTATCATCGAAGCGAAAATCCCTTTTCATGATGAGTCGGTTGAAGAGGTAGAAGAATTTGTCCATTCACTGATGACCTTGCGGGTAAGAAGTTCTTGAAGACAAAATTATTATAGAGTAATGATACTATTTGTACCTAATTATTACTCAGTAAAGAGTTCCGTATTTTTTATCATTCAGACATTACTCGACATATATTTCATTAATAAAGCCGTACATAGAAATATCTGAAAAAAATAATCCAATTAATTCCTATACATATCGAGAGTGTCTGAATCGATACTATTTATATTTAGATATCTACACACCTCTTCATAATCGAATACTGCATTTGTATCTTGCGTGTTCCTATTTATGATAATTATATGATCATTGTCAATGATATGTATATACTTATTCCGGTTTTTAAATTGCATATACTGTGTAGGATTCATGGTAAATTTACCTTGAGATTTCCGTTTATTTTTTCTAGATTTGCGAGACATATTAATATCTTATGTATAATGACGTATTATATCAAAGTATTGAGACGCATTCAATTTTTTTTTCTTGCTAAAGTGATCGGCGTGAACAATTGTTCACGAGCACGTGATTTTGATGATAAAGCATGGACATCCGCATAATTCTTATCGAGACAAATGGTTACATAGAACCTTACTTTATTGATATATAAAAAATGTTACCGAAATAACAACATAAAAACAAAATAAAATCACATCGCAGTTACATACTGCAGACGTAAATAAAAAAAAAATAATTATTCATTGGCGTATGCAATAATGTGATATACATTTTTTTTTTTCCAGGCGGTCGCGTTTACTTCGTCGAAAATTATTTCGTCGAAAGTTTGTTTCATCGAATGTTCATTTCGTCGAAAATTATTTCACCCTCGAGCCAGAGACCGAACGAGTTAGATGTGAGGAGTGTGGGAAGTTAGTTAAGAAATTAGGTGAGGAAAGCGGTGTGTGCGGGAAGTGTGAGGAGAAATTTGTTTAATGAAGTTTTTTTTTGTGACGAAATAATTTTCGACGAAATGATTGTCGACGAAATGAATCAGACCCATTTTTTAATTCAGTAATTTCTTGTTCTTTATTGGATAATTGCTTTTTCAACATTTCAATTTCATTTAATAATTCTTTATTTGCTTGTTGTTGTTCATTTATAATGTTTACCATGATTTTTGTTAATAAATACTTAATATCTTTCTTTTTATAAAAGCATTATTAAGTATATAATTATTTTATTAGTTTATTTTTAAATTTTCTATTTGTTGTCAGCATAAATTGGTTTTGGACAAGTAATATCTTTGAATTTATCTCTAATAAATGGACGAATATTATGATAAAGATATTCTTGCCTTTTGTAATCCAAAGGAGGTGGTGTTAATACTAAAATTGATAAAGATCTAATTTCTTTAAAGATATCTGTTTTCTTGGATTTCAATAAATTGAACTCAACAAAAGGTCCATTAGCAACTTCTTGAACTTTCACCATACCAAGATTAGATGCTTCAAAAAGAAAATGTTGATATTTCTGTATACTTGGTAATTTCTTGAAATAAATTCCCAAAATTGCTTTAATATCTAAGTATTGAAAACCTTTTCCACCTTCATAACACTGAGCTTTATTCAATCCTGCTGGACTAGACTTTTTTATCACTTCAACCACATGATCTAAACAATCTACTCTGGTTCTTCTATAGAGTTTTTTAATCATGCCAAAATTACCATCACATTTGAATTTAGTGTGTCCAGGAATCATGAAATTCAATTCAATACTTTGATAGTAACCACAAATTACTAAATATAAATAAAACCAAACAGTTACATTATTTTTATTCTGTCCACCAGCATTATCACAAGTAATCTTTAAATGTTTTTCACCTTTATTCAATTTCTTAATTCCATCAAAGATCAAACTAAGAGTGCCATTAGGACCTTTTCCTATAATTTCATCCTCATTAAGAACATAATTAATTTGTTCCCTTACTGCTTCATCTTGAATACCAAATAAATGAACTTTACATGGACTAAGGTAATAAATTTTACTTACTTGTTGATCTAAATGTGGTACATGAATATTTTGGGCTCAATCATAACTATAATGAGCAGTAGCATCAATGCTGCAATAATGTGTTTTACCTTTTGAATAATTTTGATCAACTAATTTTCTTTGTTCTTCTGCTAATTTGGTATTTTTATTATAATAGTTTCTTTCTAGTTTAGCCTTGGACAGATGTTCTTTAAATTTTTGAGTAATTCTTTAGCTTCTTCCTCTTGGTGAGCATTATAATGTAAACCATCTCTAAAATGTTGACAAGTATTGCACAGGTCAGTCTTTGGATTCATGATTTGAATTTCTGGTGTCAATTGATGTCATAATTTTCATATTTTAAGGATTTCAATTTGTTATCTTCTTCCAAACCAATTAGAAAGTCTCTGTGCACTGATTTATAACTCATTTCAGCTGGTAAGAATGTAATTGATTGAGTTATTCCATTGTTACTTTTTCCTGGACTTGATAATACATGGACTTCAGTATAATTTTCTAGAAAATTCTTTGCTATTTCTGCAACATTTTATCAATCACCATCTTAGTTTTCCATTGAGGCATCCTTTAATATTACCATGAATTCTTGGTAAAAGACCATTGCTTATTAGGTGATTTCTGATATTTTCAAAATAAGTCCTACCAATTCCCAACATATTGAGATAAGTTTCTTGACAAAGTAGTGTATTGTGATCCCAATGGTAGAAAGTTCTTTTATTAGATCTAATTTTCTTCTTAAGGTGTCTACTGGTGCTTACTGTCCCTCCATCCATTGCTTTAAGTTGGGCCATCAAAAATATGTCTTGCTCTGTTTTAGAAAGAGCTTGAAAGGATTCTCTTAATTCTGCAAATTCTTCCTTAGGGATTCTTGAAGAACAACTACATTTACTAAAAAATCAATGGCCTTTTCATATTCATAAGAACTATTATATTTATTATTATTTTTCATATACCTATAACCCTATATATATAATTTTATGTTCACTTTGTAGGTTTTTATTTCAAAATAAATTGGCCAAAATCCTACTTATATAGACAAAAAAATGATCAATCAAAGTAATGCCTTATTTCTATCTGTAAATTCTTTTAAAGCTAATACTAAGCATACAAATTACATTGGAAACATGAAAAACTTCTTTATTTTTAAAAATTAAAGAACAGTTTTATCAATCAATGTAATAAAAATTTGATCAAGTATTTTTATATGTATATATTAATCAATAAAAATTTGAAATAAATTTTTCATGTTCATTTATAATATCTATCATCTAGCAAAGAGGTTTTAATCTCTTTTATAAAGTATGCAAAAAATGTTACAGCAAAGAAAATATAAAGTTGTATGTTTTTGATTAGACAAAAAACATTTAACCACTTCCTGTAAAAAAGAAAAGGTAGACATTATAGAAACACTTATGCAACATAATAGCAATAAAATAAAGAGAATTGAATGATGAATACCACTTACAGACAAATTTTTTTGTTGCTACCCAGACCACTAACTTGCATTGCAGGGTCCATTATTATTATGTAAATTTATTTTCGCATATCATAGATAATAAAGCTAACCAATAGAAACTGATGGACAAATTGGTTCAAACAATTTCGATTCAATCAATGTTAATCCTCCTAAATTAAGAAGTACACTAATAATAGAAAAATAATTTATAAAGAATAAAATGAGAATTGATTTCGAAATTTTGGAGGTGAAAATACAGTTAAATGATTAAATATGAAATCGGGATTTTTTTCGCCTTGTGTTTATCGTCAGCTCCAATATGACCTCAAACTCTAGAAGATTGACAAATGACCTAATTTTTGGTCAAATAAAAAATATCTAAAACACTACAAGATGAATTATGCAACATTTATTCTTAGAATTTATTTTTATGTTCAATTTTTGATGAATCAAATCATTAAAATACAAGATAATGAAAGAGCAATAAAAGTGATTATTGGAAAATTATTTAAATTTTATATTATAGTATTATTTTATTTAAAACATTATTTACGTGATTTTTTGTTTAATTTAATCACTATTGTAAGTTGGAATTATTAAAAGTTTAGAAACCCCATGTTTAGAAACTTTGTGTGAATGGATTTCGCTTTCTTCAACTTGTATAATCATTTCGTTTGTTTCTTTTAATATTTTATTTATGTTGTATAAATGAATTATTAACATTACCATTTTCTTACGAAACGATTTGTCACTGTCTTCATCGATTGGGATCTCCAAACACTTTAATCTCCTAACACGATATAATGGAAAGTATTAATTAATATTAAAAAGGTTAAGAATTAAAAAATGGTTGAAGTAAATAATATTATACTTCCTATATATATGTAAGAGAACCATTGGTATTTTTTTTCCGGTCAACAAATGGAGAATTATGAAAACTAAAGGTCCAACGAATTATATGGAAAATTTTATTGTCCCATTTGAGACACTTCATTCCTATCATGAACTTGTAGAAGCTATAGAATCGCATGTATATGTACCCTTTGTGGAGTCAGGAAAGTCATTGACTTTACATTACCTAGAAAATTAGGATGTTAGCCGTTTAAAAAATCCTTAACCGGATAAAGATCCACTTTGCTCCTTTGTGGCCATACTTATGTTGTAATCCCTATAAAAAAAAATTTTTAAAAATAGCAATTTTTTAAAATCATTATAATTTATAAAATAACTCACCATTGGTAGGATAACCAAAAATACGAAATTTTTAATGGGTGCAACCCCATCATGTGACCAAGTCGCTTCCAATATATTTTCATGAGTTTTATACAATTTTTTTTTTTAAGTTCATAAAGCAAGATAATAAATTTTGTGCCGCCTCAAGGAAGTTAAATAAATTATTGTTATCAAAGAATTTCATAGGGATTTCCATAACGTCCTTTTTTTTCTAAATATAAGTTTACAAATTCTAATAGATCGTTTGGCGAGATATAATGTCAAAACCTTGATTTACTTCATCCCATAAGTTGAAATGTGTAGTCATTCAATTAGATCAGGATGTAAATTCATAACATCAATTATCCCAGATAATAGGGGATTATTATTGCTGATCATAAAAGACCCAATCGATTCGGAGATAACTTTAACCACCAATGGAATATTTTTAAAATGTAACTAAAAAACGATAGAAAATAATAAGAATTATTATCGAGAATGTGTATAATTGAGAAAAAGCTTGTAAATTAATCATATGTCTTTAATAAAACAAACATGACATAACTATTAATCATTTCCTTGTATGTGAATGTCTCCATCCATCAAATATTCATGAATAATAAATTTGATGTTGATCACAGGTGTCAGATTTAATTAAAATTTCATATCACCAACAAGCAAGCGTTGTGCTTTCACACGCCTCATAACTGTTTATTTTCTCCCACAGGTGAAACAATTGAACAAGTTGGTAGGCTTTGGACAAAACTTTTCCTATCTTTTCCTCGGACCAGGCTGGATGCCACCATATGGGCGTTGATTGCTGGTGAGGTTCAGCATTTGTGTGATACTTGCTTTGTGTTATACCCCTCTAGAATAAAGTTGATTTAAATAACAAATTCAGTTAGTCAAACAAAAATTAAGAGAAACAGAATTTATGATGATTATACAAAAAAAACACTATTTTACAACTTTCCTCTTAAGGGTAGAGGGAATCACGTGGTATATTTAATAGTAAACAATGGCTCAAAAAAAATAATGTCGATCATCATAAATAACAATAATAACGTAATTCAATATTAATATTATAATAATAAAGGCTCCTAATACTATTTTTATTATTATTAAATAAAGGCACCAGACTTTAATTCTCCATTCTTTTGAGTATATA